CAATTTTTATTTTATTCCTTATACCTGGACACATACATAATTTTGCGTTTCAGACATATTTGTCCCTCCTCAGCAGGTATTTTTGTATATTCTATAAACAATAAAACAAAAATTTAAAATTTACATTTAAAATTTCCCAACAAAATTATTTAATAAAATTCTTACAATTTTCCGGTTTTCCTTTATTTTTTGCTCAACTGGATATTCAAATTTTACCAAAAAAATCAGAATTACTATGATTTTAAACCTGTATTAAACCAAATTATATTAACATTATCACAATTTTTTCTTACATTTTTTTATTATTATTACAACTTACATTTGTTCTCGTTCCATTTGACTCACACCTCGTCTCCATTTCTTTCTATCATTCTTTTTATCTTTTAGACACACCCCTTTTTCTATGAATCTTAGCCATGATTGGTGCATTTCTCTACCAGTGTTGCTGTTTATTCTATTATTTTGTCTGATTATATAAATATGTTCATAAAGTTTGCAAAATTATGTATGTGTCCAGGTATATGGAATAAAATAAAAATTGTTTTCTGTTAATCTTTATAATATTATCTGTAAAGCCAGTATAATAAGTCCTGATAATAGAAGATACAAATTTATAGTCGAAAATTGGCATGAGGTAGTTTGGGGCCAGGACTGACTCACTAAAAAAGCTTCAACTATATTGCAGATTTAGGCAGTAACATCATAGGCTGTAATAATGACCTTTAATGCTACTGTTTTATACTATATTTACATTTAGACATTAAAACTTTTCTTCTTTCTAACCAATTTCTGATTAAACTATCAAAAGACCTACTATTAATCTACAGTTTATGACTTTCTGAGTTTATTTAAAATTGTCCTGATTTAAAAATATGTTGAAAGCTTTCTGAATAAATAAGCTTAAAGATACAGTATTTTATATTCCTAAAAAATGAGTGAATTTGAAAAATAAATTAATTCATATGCTCTTCCTAATGATAACTTAGCTCCTTTCCAATTTTAGTTCATATCTAAGAAATAAATTTTGATATATAGAATACTATTCAGTTTTGAGGTTTTTTTCTAAATTTTATAAAGCTAATGAAAATAAATGAATTAAAATTTCAGATTGTGTTTTCCTTTATGTAACTAGGTATTTACAAACCAGAGTAGCTCAAAGTAACCCAAAGGTCAGTTAATAAAGATATATTTTTAAGAATGGTTAACATTAATTTGGAACAACTGCATTTGTAACTGAGTTGCTTCCATTGAAGCAACTAAGTTACAAATAACATCACTAAACTAATTTTAATTACAGTATTTCTAAAATAATCTTAAAATATATCTCAGTTAACTGACTTTTGGGTTAACTTGCTACACTATAATACAAAATTTAACTTTCCAAACATGTAAAGATGAAGGAAACTAGCATAAAAAGAAATACAGTACTTAACAAAAAAGTAGATTTTTGCAAAAAATCTACTCTTTTGTTAAGTTAAACTTCTGAAATAAAAAATTCTGAAATAAAAAATTATAAAGACAGAAAATTAAATTCTAACTTATCAGTTTAAAATTATAATAAACAATAATATTCAACTCATATAAGTCAACTTTCAGATAGAATCATTCCTTTGCAATGATTTTAATTGAAGATATCTTGATTTTATATTAATCATCATAAATTATAGTTTAGTGTGCTAGTTGATTTTTAATAAATGAATAATAGTAATTATTAAACCAATATAAATTGTAGTGTTTAAATATAAAAATATAGTTTAAAAGAAAACAATTATGAAACAAGTAAGACATACAGTGAACAGACACATAATAAAAATAAACATATAACCAAATGCTGCTATTTATAAATCTCTGAAAGGATTATCAAACCTCTAAATAGAATAAAAAATTTCAGTTGAAAGTAAAAACTATATTTTAGATGAATTTTTTTTATTTTTAATTAGTGTTTATTTTTATTTTTTATATTGTTCCTTCTTTTGTTTTGTCTAGTCCAGCGCTGTCAACTGATGGCCCGCCAAATAATTTTTACAGCCCGCGAGTACATTTTACTATGAATAAATTTATGTTACTAAATTATTATTATTAATATTAAAATTATTTTACTACCATGTTTCCCCGAAAATAAGACAGTGTCTTATATTAATTTTTGCTCTGAAAAATGCGCTAGGTCTTATTTTCAGGGAATGTCTTATTTTTTCCAGGAAGAAGAATTCACATTTATTATTGAACAAAAAAATTCCCAAGTTGAACTTAGACGAGAGTGACATATATCCGGAGCGTCAAACTGTCGCCTTTTTATAGCGTCAACATCGGACTCGCTGACCAATTAGTGCTTACTGAACCGTAGCACTATGCAAATGTCATGTGGCGTGATTCCCGGCCGACCAATTAGCCATCACCAACCTTCTTGGCCCCCGAAATGTTTGGTGAAGAAAATATGGCCCGCGGGCTATGATAAGTTGGACAGTGCTGGTCTAGTCCATTTATTCTATGCATTTATATTATTCAAAATGTTTCTGATTTGAACATTTGAATCTGTGCACATAATCATGGCATTGATTTAATGGTGACAATACATAATGTTCAAATTATCTTTTGAAAATAACTCTTACCTAAAGATGGAGAACAATAAATCCCCAAAAATGTTTATGAATTAAATTAAATTAAATAGGACCTAATTAAATAAGACCTTTAATCTTTGTATTTTTTTTCTTTCAGTTAAATTGTCACGCACTGTAGTGTTGTATTGTTAATTAAAATAGTTTGTAATTTTGATTATAGATAGCCCGTACATACAGGGTTTCCTTGTACTAATAAATAATAATAATAAATAAGACCTTTGCTTTACAAAATATATAATTTTTGTTTTCTTATATTAATTTTCTCTGTCAAATTTTTGTTACATATTGCTTTGACACTAAAAATTCTAATGTTCTATTTTATGTTCATTCTACTAACTTCACGTAAATTTTTCATTGAAAAAGTCTAGTTATGGCAAGAATGACTCAATTTATTTTTATTAAAATATCTACTGTTTACTATTGTAGATGACTTTTTATTAGCTAATTAAATCTAAGAATAATTACTCATATTCTGCAGTTCTGAAAGATTTATCATCATAATTTAGATTTTAATCATCTCTAAAATTAAACTTTGTTACTTTGTTAAACCAATGAATGCTTATAGATTTTATAATTTAAAAAAAATAAAAATCCTTTCGATTTTAATTATTATATTTAAATTAATTTAAAATGAAACATGTATATTCAATATAATTCTAAAAACAATAATGAAACTATTTCAATAAAGTGTATTGTTTATTGTATTATATTGTAAAATCAGAATTGAAATGTTAAAAAACTTTTAACAGTAATTTTATATTATATTATCTCAGTGAAATAAATACTGTATAATGTTAAGATAATTAATAATCTTCAAAATGAACAAAACACCATTTTTAAATGTAACATTGCCATATCTGTTAATTAAGAACACTGAAATAATTAAATAATTCATTAATGTAGAAATGTTTTCAGTCCATCCTTAGCTATTGAAGAACAGAATACATTTGAATCACAGAATGGAATAGTATAAGATTTTATTCCATTCTTTGATAGCTGAGTATTTCCTGATAAAGTCTTAAAATGCTAGATTAATAAATTGTTTCAGTATGCTTAATTAATAAGCAGATGTCAACTTTACATAAATAATAATTAATTAATTAATTTGTTAAAAATATATAAGTTACAAACATGAAAAATTATTGGTTTTTTTCTTCTCCATTTTGCTTATCAGAGATAAATTGCTCCTATTAATAAATGTTTAAGTTAAGTAATAGTCAGCAATTATGTTGTTATTAGATATTAAAATTAATTAGTGACTCAAAAAAAAGGGTTGAACAAAGGGTGACTCAAAAAAAAGGGTTATCATTAAAACTTACACTACCTTCAAGTTAGATATTTTAAAAACATTTGAAATAAAGCATCTTTTGAAGACAATACCTTGTTTTGAAATATACATATATTGAAATATATACTTTATCCATTTTGATACTTTATTTTGTTCAGAACTTTTCATCAAGTACAAAAATATGTCAACCTGTACTTAGAAAATGAAAATTAATTCAACACACAAGAATTCAATAAATGATTATCAAGGACAAAGAGAGAGAAGAGATTAATTAAGATAAGTGTGTTGATATTAGTTTTAGTTCATCAACATATGGCAATATGTCCAAGATGATCCCAGTTCTACATATGGTTATTTATCAGCCTACTGTCACAAGGGAGCAGGTTCAAACCAAATTCAAACTTTTATAATTGTTTACAATTAGTACTGATAGCGATATATATTCCTCACCAAATGTGGTTAACTCATTGCTCAAATACCTAATAATAGACACAATTGAGGTAGCCATACTTACTGATATTTCATATTATTAAGCAATAATTCATATAACTGAGAGAAAGAATCATACACTAGACATTATATATTTAATGGACATTATTCAGGAAAACAAACCAGGAGTACTAATTATTCAGTTGCTTATTTAAAATAACAAAAATTCTGATAATTATACAAAAATCTAATAGATCAAAAAATTCTGCTAACATTATGTAATTTCTGTCATTCATGTACAATTGTGTTCAGCCTAATTATCTTGCTTTCAGATTAAACAAAATTAATATATATATATATATATGTATGTATTGGAAATTATCTACTTTTATTATAAATAACTTATGGTTAATAATGTGAATTCTTATCTCATTGTTGAATTATTACGAAATAACATGTAAAAGTTAACACAAATGTTATTTAATATAAACAATTCAAATTTCAAATTAAAAGTAAGATAACCAATGGCATCATTCAATACAAAAAAACATTTTGGTTCTTACTTTCTCAGTTTTGATATATTTTACATTGCGAAACTTCCTCACTTTTCAAATAAATTCATTTGATGAAATTATATAAATCATTAACAGAATCAGAAGAAAAATGTTTTATCTTGGCGCTGCTGTAGGTAAGGTTATAAGAAACGAAATCTTTCAAAAAACTTAAATGACGCAACTCACTAGCGACGTAACTTCTACGTAACAACAAGAAGTCGTTCATTTTAAAAACTATTTATCAATATAAATTTGTCTATAAATCTTTAAATAATAATAATAATATAACATCGTCATGTTTTATAAATCGCTTCGCCGATTTTTCCTAAAATCGACCAGTCTGGTTAGAGATTAACGCTTTTATTAAGTTGGCGCCGTCTGCCTTCGAATAACGGAAGTTCGGTAGCCATTTTTAAAGGGAATGGCTCCCATAGGATATTGGGGCAATCCCACTTCCACATTAGATTGGTGTGAAGAGAACTACGAAGTAACCAGATACATTGCCGAATTTTGGAATACGATAAGTAATCTAGCTCTTCTAATACCCCCGATTTACGGAGGATGGATCTCGTGGAAACATGGATTGGAATTTCGTTATGTATTGTGTTATGTATTTCTTTTCATCGTCGGTGTGGGTTCTTGGTGCTTCCACATGACTCTGTTATACGAAATGCAATTATTAGATGAACTTCCCATGGTTTGGGGGACGTTAATGATGATATATAGTTTATATGAAGTTCATTCTCCTCCAGATAAGATTAACAAATTACTCGCGTTGGAATTATTAATCTATGGTATAATTGTTAGTGTGGTTTATTTGGCCATTCGGCAGCCTATTTTTCATCAACTTGCCTATGGATTTTTGGTTGTGATCGTCGTTGGTTTCGATATACGACTAGCTTTAACTGGAAAATGTGAAATTTGGATATTCGTCGTGGCTTCCATTTCCTACTCTACAGCCTTTTGTATGTGGAACATCGACAATGTCTTCTGTTCTGAACTTATTACAGCCAGACAACTTTTACCTTTTGTCTTCCGTCCTTTAACTCAACTCCATGGTTGGTGGCATTGTTTGGCTGGATATGGAACCTACTTACAAATTTTATATTTCTGTCAAGCTCGCATGATACATAGAAAGGAACCTTGCAAAATCAAAGTAATATGGCCTTTCTTATTTCCATATTTGGGTCCAAAGAAACAAACTATTCAATAACAGATCAGAGCATTATGTTATAAAAGAGATAGTTTTTATAAGCCACATATATATTATGTATATTTAATATTTTGAATATCTTTTATATATATCACTGCCTGAAAATATTGCAAATTTGTGTTTGGTCACAAAAATCAGTCATTCGTGAAATCTTGATGCATTCCTGCATCTTTTTTTCATTCCATATTGCAGAACTAGTCAAGAATCCTAGCACATTAATAATACATTTAGAGATTTCTACTTGAAAGTGCAATATGATAAAAGTTGAATAAGAATATATCATAAATTAGCGAAGATAAAGTATTTTTTTATAATTGTTTCATAAATATTAATACCAGAAAAGTATTCTTTTATATTTTAATATCACAGAAAATTGTTAAATTTTTATATGCTTGGTGCTATTATATATTGATTTTATAATGAGTGAGTACTGTTGAATTTTTTGATATATTTAGAATTGTATTTATACATATAAACAATACGAAAAAAATAATGAAAATATACAATAATTATTTTTTATAATTTGTAGAAATAAAATTCATTTTAAATTATTTTTTGGTATTAAAAAGAATATTAAAGATTAAAACAGCTGCTATAACTGAAGATATCCAAACAAAAACATCAGAGATGTAAAAAAATTGCGCCAAGTAAAAACATTTAGATGACAGTTAAAATTTTTCTTGTCAGTTTTACTTTGGCCAAGATAAGTTTGGCCAAGCTTATCTTTACCAAAGAAAAACTCAAGAAAAAAATTTGTCCGTCGTCAAATTGTCATAAAGTTTTACTTAGCGTAATATTTTTACAACTCAAATGTCTCTAATAATTGTATTATTACGTCAAGACATAAGACGAGAACGTACAATTCGGAAGGCGCTCGGCGACTGAACGCGCCGCCGACCAAATGCCCTGCCAACCGAACGCTTTCAAATATTCATTTTTGAAGAATTTAGAAAGATCCGTTAGAAAAATTAGTTTAGACAAATCGTTATAAAACGTTTTAATTGGCATAAATTTGAGCTTTTGAATTCTGAGTAACATTTTTAATAAAATTCATTTGTTTCCGTGCAATTTTATCTTTATAAGCATAAAATTAAGCCGTGAAACTGAATTAGCTCTATGGAAAACTTCCGTGAACTTTGACCTATAGGCCCGGAAGTTTCGTGAGCTGATAATGAGATAAAGGCTTAAGTTTAAAATTTCAGCTTTATAGTAGTTTTTCTCTACGAGCGTCTGCATTGCCGGATGAAGAAAAAGAAAAGACTACAATTTTTTTGGAGAATTTTGCACTTTTAAATTGCTTATATTTCGGCAACCGCATTACAGAAAATCTTGAAATTTTGCACACTACATACGAAAACAATTACTTTTCGAATGAGATATTCGGAATTACTTTAGGTGTTTGAGGGACGGAGAAATCGACCCCCCGAAAATCGGCAACTCCGATTTCTATATCTATAAAGTTAACACAAATGTTATTTAATATAAACAATTCAAATTTCAAATTAAAAGTAAGATAACCAATGGCATCATTCAATACAAAAAAACATTTTGGTTCTTACTTTCTCAGTTTTGATATATTTTACATTGCGAAACTTCCTCACTTTTCAAATAAATTCATTTGATGAAATTATATAAATCATTAACAGAATCAGAAGAAAAATGTTTTATCTTGGCGCTGCTGTAGGTAAGGTTATAAGAAACGAAATCTTTCAAAAAACTTAAATGACGCAACTCACTAGCGACGTAACTTCTACGTAACAACAAGAAGTCGTTCATTTTAAAAACTATTTATCAATATAAATTTGTCTATAAATCTTTAAATAATAATAATAATATAACATCGTCATGTTTTATAAATCGCTTCGCCGATTTTTCCTAAAATCGACCAGTCTGGTTAGAGATTAACGCTTTTATTAAGTTGGCGCCGTCTGCCTTCGAATAACGGAAGTTCGGTAGCCATTTTTAAAGGGAATGGCTCCCATAGGATATTGGGGCAATCCCACTTCCACATTAGATTGGTGTGAAGAGAACTACGAAGTAACCAGATACATTGCCGAATTTTGGAATACGATAAGTAATCTAGCTCTTCTAATACCCCCGATTTACGGAGGATGGATCTCGTGGAAACATGGATTGGAATTTCGTTATGTATTGTGTTATGTATTTCTTTTCATCGTCGGTGTGGGTTCTTGGTGCTTCCACATGACTCTGTTATACGAAATGCAATTATTAGATGAACTTCCCATGGTTTGGGGGACGTTAATGATGATATATAGTTTATATGAAGTTCATTCTCCTCCAGATAAGATTAACAAATTACTCGCGTTGGAATTATTAATCTATGGTATAATTGTTAGTGTGGTTTATTTGGCCATTCGGCAGCCTATTTTTCATCAACTTGCCTATGGATTTTTGGTTGTGATCGTCGTTGGTTTCGATATACGACTAGCTTTAACTGGAAAATGTGAAATTTGGATATTCGTCGTGGCTTCCATTTCCTACTCTACAGCCTTTTGTATGTGGAACATCGACAATGTCTTCTGTTCTGAACTTATTACAGCCAGACAACTTTTACCTTTTGTCTTCCGTCCTTTAACTCAACTCCATGGTTGGTGGCATTGTTTGGCTGGATATGGAACCTACTTACAAATTTTATATTTCTGTCAAGCTCGCATGATACATAGAAAGGAACCTTGCAAAATCAAAGTAATATGGCCTTTCTTATTTCCATATTTGGGTCCAAAGAAACAAACTATTCAATAACAGATCAGAGCATTATGTTATAAAAGAGATAGTTTTTATAAGCCACATATATATTATGTATATTTAATATTTTGAATATCTTTTATATATATCACTGCCTGAAAATATTGCAAATTTGTGTTTGGTCACAAAAATCAGTCATTCGTGAAATCTTGATGCATTCCTGCATCTTTTTTTCATTCCATATTGCAGAACTAGTCAAGAATCCTAGCACATTAATAATACATTTAGAGATTTCTACTTGAAAGTGCAATATGATAAAAGTTGAATAAGAATATATCATAAATTAGCGAAGATAAAGTATTTTTT